GTTAACTCTTCCGTTAACCCGACTAAGAGCACCTTATCACCATCCTTGTATACCTAGTGAGTTAGTCTATCTAGTCCTGCAGCCCTTCCTCGTTTCAGGTTATCTACCGCTTTCTCAACCTCTCTTAGTGTTAGGGGGCCTATCTCTATGTCCCATTCAGGATCCAACTGGATAGCGGGCAACTCAATGGTAGCTGGAGGCCGGTTAAACTATTCCTCGAAGTGTTCTACCTATCATTCCAGTCGTCTCCCCTGCGAGTGAATCGCAGGTTCGTCCTTCTCCGCTATAGCCTCACTAACCGCAGTTGACATTTTCCCTCAGTTTCCTTAGATGTATCCTCACCTTATCTTCAAAGTAATCTTAAAAATCTTATCATCATATACACTTATTTCGTTTTGTTTTTGTTGTTCCTACCCGTCAGTTAGCTTTTATACCACTGTTGGCATAATTATTCGCCTTTAAGTATTTTTCCTATTATAAATAACTTAAAAAGTACTAGTTTGAACTGATATACAATCATGCCAAGTTCTACGTTATTCATATCTGTTCGTCTGTAATAAATAACGTATAAACTTTGTATAGTTTTACTCTTGCAAGGGTTAATGATTATCGTCGAATTTTATTATTCCTATTTGCCCTACTTTATAAACGAAACTAATTGAAGTTCATGAGAAAATAATCTCTTATTTAAGGTACTTGTCTTATTGTCTATAGAATATATCATATGAAAAAATATTATACTATTTATTATATTGATTAGTAGTGCTTAAATGTTCATGTAACAAGTATATTTAACTAATGAAAGAAAGAGAATTACATACAGAAAACTGTTACAAAAAGTTTCTTAATGTCTTGGAATTAATTCTAACTGACATATTGCTATAAACTAACTGTTAAAAGTACTTATAAACTGATATTGAGATAGATTTCAGATTGCTCACTGAATGTATGTGTGCGTGTGTACATATGTAGGCTTATTTGCGTGTAAATTCCTTTAAATACCATAAGTAAAATTGAATAAAGTATATTGGCTTGTAAGCGTAAAGTGAGTTTTTCAGTACGGTGTGATTGATGTTGTCTTTTTCTTTTTTTTCAAAGACTAACCTTAAAAACATCATCATTATCGTGCATATATAGATAACCAAAAAGTAGTCATATTCACATAATTTGTACTGGTAGTTACCCTACATATGAAATGCAACTGAAAATCAATAACTAATCGTCAGCTGGTTGTATCTTCACTTTGAATCTGAATAGACCAACTGAAATTTTCAGGAATATATTGTTGTATAGCACAAGAGTGGAATTGCCTGAAACAATGAGATCTACATGTTCAGTCATATAAGGTTAAGAAATATTAATTATGTCAACAGGCAGGCCATTCAGGATCCATAGATAGATAGATAGATAGACAGACAGACAGACACAGAAACAACGCAGAACCTCACACAAGTCGATCGGCTCAAGTTTACACACCTCATAGTAGCATACAAAGAACAGGTGGATAGAATAAGTGATATCAAACGAGACAAAGTGCAAATATTTGAGTTTCAAAAGACATAAAGGAGTAAATAAAAGCAACAACATTAAAAACTATGCCCGTCGCACAAGAAGGGACTATCGTGACTAATTGGTCTAGTGGATAACACTCTGGCATTTGAAATGATCGGCCGCGAGTGCGAGTCCTAGTGGGGACAATATCGCTCACTGGGAGGCAGGTACATCCAACTGATGAGTCCCAAACAGAACGAAACGCGCGTTCAGGATTCCACTGCTAGCCACTACCCATCACTAATATGTGAGTATATCAGTCAGACTGTGACCGGTTTCTAGTGATATCACCGACAGTCCTCAACCACTGATTCCTTTTGTCTCGATGACTCCGACTAGGCAGTCTACATCACTCCACAGGGTTCAGACCAACAGTCACGGACTTCATTGACTGGTGCCAGATCTTGATCTCACCATCCTGAATCCTCTTTCAACCTGAGCCAGCTTCCCTAACATGACACATCCAGGCAGGCGGGGACTCGGCATGCGCAGGATATATCCAAGCCATCTCAGTCCACTAACGCTCAGAACCTCGTCAACTGATTTGCCTATCTTGTTTGTTACCCTTCCGCTGACCATAACATGGTTCAAACGATGATTCATTCAAACGCCAGCAATGCTATGAGGACATCAGTGATCAAAACTCTATATGCGCTTCATGTCTTCTACTTTTAATGGCCATACCTCAAAGCTGTACAACAGGACAGAACGGACTACAGTGTAGTATACTTATCTTTTGATAGGTAGTCGGGTATCTCGCCAGTCGGTACCACAGATGACGGGAGTTGGCAACTGCCAAACCGGCCTTTTGTATCTACAACTAGTAATTTTTTGTTCATTTACATAAAAAATTAGGGAAGTCTAACTGTAATCAGAACATTATTTTAGAAAATAACGAATCCGGAATGTGATGTAGTTTACGTTTCGAATTTCCTCAGGTATCATCAACCAACATACTAATTTATCAGAATAAATAAATCTAGAAATGCTTTCAGCCTTTTATTCTTGAACATGTTCTTTTTTAACCTAAAGAGCTTCCGAATTCATATAAGCGATTATAATTTGTATAAAATATTGATTGAAGCGTGAGTGGAACTGTGGCTTATTGGTCAACGTGTTGAATGTTCAATTAACAAGCCTTAAGTTGACCACTCTGCGTAGAAAGATTTTGTTAACCATCTAGTATGATAAAGCTTTGTACACAGATGAATTATTATTTTTTATTTGAACCATGGATCTAGGCATGCATATGATGAACAACTTAATGGTTCAGAATACAAACAACTATATTACAAGGTAGCATTCATCACGGACTGACATCAGTTGGGGGAACCATTGAAAACCCAGGAGCACTGGACAGTGGTTTTGCCCTAGTACAGGGCTCCTCAGCAGCACGCAGCCATGACGCGGCTGGAGATCGAACTCAGGACCTTCGGGTTTCACGGCGAACACGTTTACCATTCAACCACTGGGTTGGAGTCAAATAGTTCACAGTTTCCAACTTTTGTCAATTCACTATATAGTACGACTATTATTCAAGATCTTCAGTCGGTATCCGATTCCCTTCCGGCTGGTTAACCTCACAGATCACGGCTTCTCCTTAGAATTTCATGATATCCATCTGGAAGCATGGGGCTCGATGGCTGAATGGCTAACACGTTCGTCGTGAAACCTGAAGGTCCTGAGTTTCATCCCTAGCCGGGTCGTGGGTGCATACTACTGAGTAGTCTCATACTAGGACAACACAGCTCCCTAGTGCTCCCAGGTTTTCGATGGTTCTCCAACTGATGTTAGTGCATGATGAATACTACCTTTAGATTAAAATCTCCATTCATCTCAGAAATACATAACTGCTTTAAAGTGATATTTCTGTCAACACTGACGGTTAGAATACGGCACATTTTACATCTGACGGTGACAGGATAATTCATGGTGTTACAATCCAAACGTAGCATAACTAAATGCAGATCAGAAGGATGTGGATTTTGATCAGTCATTCGATAATTAACCAGATCACAGGAAAACTAAGCAAGTTTCGAACATGAACAAAAGTGTATCAGTAACCCTTTTACAGGTCTTCGAACACAAGTAAACTTGGTATTGCCTGTTACTAGTCACATTAACCAACTTAAAGGCGTCATTCATTTCCATCAGCCAGCAGTTGTTGTGATTGTCTGACTATACGGGGAGTACTTGACAAGTATATTGTGCAAATCAGGGCTCTCCTGTTCACACTGATGTAACCACGTAAGGGCTTTGAGAAACTTATCGTCTGGGCTAGAGATAAACACTATCCTTCATGCATTTTCACTACCATCGTTCACACTAAACTCTATTATAGATACGTAAGTGGATACAAACCTAGGTACTTCCGACTCCACAGGAATCGATTTACTTTCAGTAGGGAATCTAGGTGACTGAGAATAAGCGGATGATATATGCTTGTTCAGCAAACACGTTGAAAATTTAAAGATTCTTTTGAACGTACTGAACTAAAATCTACGTAGGTTGCGCACACGATTTTAAACCTTTTAAATGTTAGATTATGTTTCAGAACTGGTCTGTAGCAACCCCCGATTTTAGGTAGTGAACAGTTGAATGCACTGATAACTTTACGTGCTTGGTAAGGTGCATCGAAACAAGTGAATTGGTTTCTAACGTGATCATAGCTCAGATACAAGGGGCCTACTTGACATTTGTGAACTTTTATCATCTCTGGTACCGGCAAAATTACCTAGTACGTATCAAAGGACGAGTATAGAACGCTGCAATGCGTCCCAGTATATTGTACTCAAATGCTATTGTGGCTGGAGTCTACGAACTATGTGACTATTGGTTTTAGTCGTGTATAGGGAGGCATGGATTACTTGGTTGGGGTCAGTGAAGCGATAGGAGTCAGTAGTAGGAGAATCTTGATGACATAGTTGACAGTTGGTCACCATGATATAGATTTATACACTCTTTGTCATTTTCAGTTTTGGATGTTTCATAAACTTTCATCTCTTTATTCCCTCCATTTCGTTTTGCATTCTTCTGCGAATTCTTTCAAGATGAACCGATGCACGTTTGTACGAAGTTAAGTGTTGATCTGTATGTCTGCGTAGGTAAGAATATCATCGGAGAGGTCAATATTTTTACAAGTACACTTGTTTCTGGGTATTGTCTCAAGAGCAAACACAATCAACGGCCACGGTCAAATAACTTGGTGCTTACATTGTACTATGTGGTGATTTGATCTCAGTGCTGAAGACTAAACCATGTGACTGATCCCATTTGATGGATACCATGGATATTCATGAAGAAAACTGAATTGAATAACATCAGTTTGTACACTCTCTACTTTCAAAAAGTCGCATTAACCGAATGTAATAATATCTTTATCTTTTTTTTTATCAGAAGTTAATCTAGAATAATTTATTTTTGTGTTTTATAATATGAAAACTACTTACTTGTCACCATTAATATCTATGAATATGAGTGAATGACCAAATCGACTACCAAAGCTTTGACCTTCAATTTTCATTAATGGCTTAATATAATTTCTGCCATTCTCTTTATTACTTTGAAAAATTGAAACAATTCCAGTACCAAATTTTATTTGATCTGAAAAACTATTACCACCGTTACTTGGAACACCTGGACCACCATAAGCTACATATAATTCATATGTACTTAATCCTGGGAGTGGAGCATACAATCGATCAGAAGTATCCACTGAAGAACCTTTAGTGTTAATAGACAAAAAATACATTACATTCCAGTTATGGGATGGATGTTAAAGTTATCATTAAAATGGAGTAATAAAAGTGGATGGATGGTAAATTCAGAGAGAGAAACGATATTTATCTTGACTTGATCAACTTTATGGGTAGGTACATAAAATGGACTGATAAGAGATTGTTTTACATTTTCTTTCACTGTAAGTTTATAAGCTTAAATTTACCTAAAAAAAGTAATAGAAAGATGTTGATTATTTAGTAATTGTCAGTAGGAGAAACCAGTATAAGAATGTAATCCTCTCTGGAACTCATTTCGGAGAAATATATTCTCTAGTGATCAACAATTCACTAAATGAATAATGTTAGGGATGGCTTATCCCTAAGAAAACTAACTTATAATATGGTTATATTATCATTTTAAAGTTTAAGCCCTATTTTCGCGCATTTTTTTCGCCATAGTGTGTTGCTTATTTTTACCACGGTTTAGGATACTAAACGCTGATTAATCCATTTTACATTTTGAATATGCTATTTTGTTTTCTCTAGTCAAGGCCATTTAAGGATATATAAATGACTGAGTTTTCACCTATTTGGGGTCGGTTGGAGTAAACAAACTTTCGATCCCATCGCCTTCTTCTGGTATCAGTTGAGAGGTCATTGTTCTGTTGCTAATCGTATCTTTTTGAAGCATTGTATCGTTATTTATAGCGTTGGATCGTAGCAAATAGAATAACTCCAGTCAAAACAGGATATTAGGTATTGTGTTGTACTTATGTTGAAGATTCTTGGTCGAATCCAAGACGTGTGCTTCGTTCTAATTAGGACTCGTCAGCTGGATGTACCTCGACCTCACCTGTCAACAAAGAATTACAAGTATCATATTCATCTTCACATTTCCAGTATGCAGTGCTAGCAAAAGATTTCCAATCCCCGCAGGAAACGACTTTTATTGAATAAACTTGAACAATGATTCATTATCTTGAATACTATTCTATTGAACTGGACTAGTCAATGACTAATGTCTACTTTTCCTACTTATTGTTTGCGTTATTTGCTTCCTAAGTCTCAACTAAGTTCCGTTTTCTTTTTTTTAAACAACTACTGATGGATGACAATAATACTTTGGCGTTTAATGACGTTAAAAATTCAATACTTATTTCATACCGAAGAGATTGCCTGATTTCAGTTTGCATTCTGGAAGACAGGTCAAACAAATAGAGCTTACTGTTAGTTGGTTGAAGGTAATTGGCAGAAAGCCTTGGACTTAGGTTTTGTGCTCGTTGGCACTCGTCAATAAGGCGTATCTGCAACCTCGACAGAACTGATGTCCCGCATGAGATTCGAAACCACATCGCCCAGTGTGGTAGTCAACTTAATCTTGGCCTCAAAGATTTGTTAGTCACATAAGAATGTAAATCGCCCTGTAATAGAGTGTGTAAATTATAATCTTTTACATAAACTTGCACTCCCTTATTGAAATGAAGTACATTTGCCTTGCTTAAAAGTTGAAAAAAAACATGCGAAAAGCAAGAGTAATGTACTACAAATTCTCATCAAAAATTGTAACTTTAAACTCTGGCCTCTGTTTTCATGTAGAAACAACAATAGTCTTAACCAAAGTTTAGAATTCTTTTACCGATCGATGTGAGCAGTTAAAACTCATACGTTTTTCTCTGAGAATAGTTTTGTACTTTATTTGCCTTAATTTTCTAAAGCTTGCCACATGCCAATTGATCCATAAAGGAAAGCTCAGTTATGACTTTAAAGTGAAGACAGGAGTAAGACAAGGCTGCCACCTACTACCACCCATGATATTCCTCATTGTCGTGGACAAGACTGGATCATGCAGCAAACAATGAGGAGCGAAAAGATGAGCATATGCTGTTTCACCGATGAAAAGAGCCTAGAAGATTTGGATTTCGCCAACGAGGATGATGATTTATGTCAAATGTCTTTTCGCACACACTCGAAGATCTACAGCCGAAAACTAACGAGTTTACAAAAGTGACAGCAAAGACACGACTTCAAGTGAATGTAGAGAAGACAGAGGTGATGAGGATATCCAAACAACACCAACAACAACAACAAGAAGCTCCAATCACCATCAACGGGGAAACTTAAAGGAAGTAGTCTCTTTCACCTACCAACTACCTACTAGGCAACATCCTTTCAACTACAGGCAACGGTGGTACAGACGAGGACGTGAAAGTAGCCAGGATACGAAAGACAGCAAGACAGGTATTGATTAACCTGAAATCAGTGTGGAGATCCACTGCACTCAGCACAAACAACCAGATCGAGATTTTCAACACCAATTCAGTGAAGTAGGTCAGTGCTTCTATGTGATGGTTGAGAGACTTGGCGAGTTACGAAAGTCATTTGCAACAAACTACAGATATTCATGAACACCTGCCACCTATGCTCAGTGGATGCTGAAGATGAGATGAGATGAGATGAGATGGCGGGAAAGAATAAGCAACCAGGAGCTCTGGCTGGCTGGCTGGCTGGCTGGCTGGCTGGCTGGCTGGCTGGCTGGCAACCACCCAACCAACCACCCAACCAATCAACCAAGAACCCATCACCCAACAAATATGCAGAAGGAAGTGGGGATGCATTGGATTGGGCATAGACTGAGATGACCATTCAGGGACATCATGTGCCATGTGAGGTACTCGAGTGGAACCCAGATGGGAAACGACGAGTTGGGTGTCCGATGCGAGGTTGACATGGAAGAGATCATGTGAGTAAGAAATGAAATGTTGTGTGCAGTGGTTGAGGCATGTTGAAAAGATTGCAGAGAAGAGAGTGAAATGAAGAGGTGCTACAGAATCCTTACGTTCCACTAGGAACCTAAGGGAAAAATAATAATGATAATAATAGCGTTAATTTCTAACCGAATCATAACTACTAGACTGATATTTTATGTAGCGTTACTAAAGAAACCTATTTATCAAAAGAGAATCAATGCTGATGAATGACTAATTTAAAACAAACGGTCTTCTTATTCAATTGGTTGTTTTATAAGTGTCTATATGAGAATTTTTATTTCTACTGAGTAAATAGCGAGATCCATCTAGAAAGTAACATTTTTCAACGACGAGAAACTACAAGCTACAAAACCAAATCATGTCGATTGCATGATGAGTGGCTGTGATAAATCAGTAGGCTAGTGGAGGACGCTTAGATGTTTAAAACCTCGGGTACTGGCTTCAAGTATCAATGGGAACAGAATCATCCAACAGGAGGTAGGTTTGTCCTATGCAGGACGAAACGCCTGTCATAAATTTCACTGCTATTCACTACTGATCAGTAGTATCTAAAATTAAATTACTGACAGAATTTCATTGAAGCATATACCTTTTAGACTAATCTATATTCTTTAAAAAAAAAGAGGAATTTATCCGATTAACTGATTTCTTAGGGGATTAACTGAATGGAATATATCTGATATATAATACTCGGATTTTTTAAAACTTGAACTGTAGCTAATTGATCCAACTACTCTATTCTAAAAGGCTTCATTTGAAATGTAACCATCTAAAAAGACGCACATGCCTATTAGATGTGAATCATGTGCTAAAAGTAGTTTTTTTTATTTGGCTAATAATTTAACATTTTCAATGTTCAACAAGGTTCTATGTATAAGGTTACACAATAAATCGGTTAATGTATTTCAGGCAAAGAAATAACAAAACTATAAGATTTCATATACTTGAAGGATCGCAGTTATTATGAATTAAATGGGTGTTTAGATAAATATTCCTTTCAACTAATTCTCTTTAGGTTCAAGATTTATGACCTACAAATATGGTTTTTTTAAAAAGTATCAGCATGATTTCGATATTTGTACTTTTTTTTTCCTAATAAATGAAACACAAAACCGTTGGTCTCACATCTAAAATATCGCGCTACAGTTTAAGCCTTATTAGAAATGCTTTTCTTTCTTAAATAGAAGATAAATTCATTCAGGTTAGTAAAATCAATCTGTAATATCCTATGAATGTCATGACGGTTTATGATGGATCAGACGATAATTTTGATGTAAATGTGAGTAAACCGCATAAATAAATATGAACGACTGTGATCGATGTAGGCGAAGGAAAAGTGAGAACAATATGGCTCAAAGTTATGAAATGTGTTTTCTGATAATCAATAGATGAAAACAAACTGATAATGAAGCTAATTAGGTATTAATACGGGGTCAGTTACTCACCGCAACAAAGTTGATATGCAAAAAGATGGAAGTTGTTAGAGTGGATAAAAGTGCAGCTTCAGTTTTATTACAAGTTGCAGTTGCAGAACCATAGAAAACTTGGGAGAATTGGGCAGCTATTTCTTCCTAGTATGAGATTCTTGAGCAGTACTCACCTGGGTAGGGATCGAATCAAAGATCTTTAGGTTTTGCGGTGAGCTACCGGGTCGAAATCTAATGTTTCACATCTTCCTACTTTTGTCAATCCGCGACAACACATGACCTTCATCCACGCCATCGTTGAGTATTTGTTCTCATGTGTGAATTGATTTGTCCTACTTTGGGAAATCTCATCTCGAGCACTGAAAAGTAATTCAAACCTCCTATTTGATTTTATTTAGTAGAAAGCTAATGACTAGGTGCTAACCTTACTATTACTTGTGACCGACTATTCGTTATTTAAAGGTCAAATAATAACTATTTGACCTTGTCCATACTTTTTACCCGTTGTTCTTGTTGAGTGACTTTAAATGCCATCCTAGCAACAACTAAAATAACCAATTACACTTCTGTATTTTATGAAAATCTGCCTTTCCAGCAGAAATGGAAAAGCCTGATCGGTCATTTCAACTGTCGCCAAGGTGGCCTTTAAAGTCACCCATTCTTGTTACTGTCTGGTTCTTGAGTTAATTAGTGTTGAAGATAAATGCAGACAATGGATTCATAACTTAGTTTGTTCGATTTCATTCATTTTAGCCTATCACGAGTCTAGTGTACAGTTAAACCGCAAAAGTACAATCCAATCGTTCAAG